GGGGACCCCGCGTAGGAACTTCCATGCACGCCCGGGCGCCTCTGCAAGCCGAGAGCGCGGCGGCGGGCATTTTCCGCATCGGGGGGCCGACGAAGGCCGCGCGCTCCAGTCCGAGCGCATCTACAGCGTGCCGGAAAATCGGGGGCGACGCAGGAGACTGCGAATGACATGGGGGCCGCTCGTCTTTGGGAGTCGAAAGCGGTCGCCTCGGGGAGGGAACGAGAATCGGTGAACAAACGAAGCTCCTGCAGGCTCAGGGGCCAGGGGTCTCCCTGAACGGCCATGGAGGTCCTGGGCGCCGATTCTGCTTGATGCGCGTCTTAGTGGGCACCGCGCACCTAGTGGAGGCAATTGGTCTGCGACGTTGGAGCAGCCAGGCTTTCGCGCGTCTTCTTCGTCATGCCCACCGCGGAGGTCCCCTGGTCTGGCGCCATTTTTCTCTGCGAGCGCTTTGGCGGCGACCCCTGAGAACGCGCGCGCAATTCAGACGAGACCTAGATGCGCCGATCGCGAATCGATTCCATCGCGGAACTTGGCCATCCTCTTTTGCGCCGCGGCTGGCGCGGGCACCCTTCTTTCGGAGGTCGATGATCGAGCTGGACTGAGCTGCTAACTCACGTTCTCGGGGAAGCGCGGCGGGCGCCGTTGCCCAACCTGGCCCCGGGCGTTTGGGGCCCACCAGGCGGTGCTCAAAGAAAGCATGCACTTGTGCCCCGGAAGTCGAAAGCGAAGCTGCGGGAATGCCCCGGGCTGCGCAGCGCAGACGTGAACGTCCCAGCGCGGTGCCCACCTCGCGAAAGGCGCGTGCCCGGAGACGCACGGAGTTGAAGGCGGAAGCAGCCCTGGCGTGGCGCCTGCTGCTATTCTCTGCGAGCCTGGCGCGGGATGCGCGGCGATGGCGAAGGGTCGACGGGCGTCGCCCGCGGGCCCTGGAAGCCCAATCGGAAATCCGCCGGTCCCGCGTGTGAGTTTCTGAGAGCGCGGGCTTGAGCTCGCTCAAGCTTCGCTCTGCAAGGGGGGGGGGGACAGGAGAGAGCGGGGGGGAGAAGAGAAAGGGGGGGGTGGACAGGAGAGGGGGGGGGGGACAGGAGAGTGGGGGGAGGGGGAGGGGAAAGGAGAGAAGGGGGAAGGGGGCAGGGAACGGGGGGGGGACAGGAGAGAGGAGGGGGGTTGGGGGGGCGGGATCATCACCATCTCCACCACCATCACCATCACCATCGTCACATCACCATCATCATCATCGTCACCATCATCATCATCCTCATCATCATCATCATCATCATCATCATCACCATCATCATCATCATCCGGAGCGCCCGGGTCGGCGGCACTGGCCGGAGGCCACTGCAATATTCGCCCTCAACGACCAACGAGAGCTCAGCGATGATGGGATCGTGCAGTGGCGCCGCCTGAACGCCGCGTTCTTGCGCCGCCGCCGCGTCTTTGCTGGGTGGAGGGCGCATCCTGATGTTCATTCCTTCGTGGACATGCCCCTACAAATCCGCCAGTCAGGCGTCGCGAGGTCCTCTCGGCGTTGCGCGGGAGAGACCGGGAACGCAAATGCGAAGAAGGTTTGTGACGCATCATCGAAAGGCCACGCGGATGAGCAGCATGTCGCGTTACATTCGTCGTGAGCGTTTCGTCTGGGAGAATTGGAGCGCGCTTTCGCGTGGTTCCGCTTGTCTTCTCGGGCCAGCGCAGGCGCGCGCCGGCGCGGGCAAGCCAGCGCAGGGGGAGAAAAAAGGCCGCCGCCACCTTGGGCGCCGCGGGGAAAGAGGGGCGGGGGGGGCCGCGGGGGAAGGGAGGGGGGGGCGACCGCTGCGCGATGCGCAGTGGGCAATTGACTGTTGTCCGGTCGTCGGCGCTTCGCGTCGTGTTGCGCCGAGTGCAACCGCGTTCCTGTAGTCGGCGCGGAGGTCCGAAGCGCGGAGCGCGCGCCCCCCGAGCACCCCCGCCCGAGCGCGCCATGCCCCGCGTCGCGAACAGCGCGGCGTTTGCCGACGCCCTCGCGGGTGGTTCGCCAAAATATGTGCGGCGCCATCATGGGCCAGATCGCCGGGGACGGGGGCGCTGTGGACCTGGGGCAGGATGGCGACGGCAAAAATCTGCAGAAGATGGTCGTGGCAGCGCTCCGCGACCAGCTCCCCAAGCTCGACCCAGAGAAGAGGCGGCTGTTCAAGGGGGCCCCAGCGAGGCAGCGTTCGTCGTTGAGCCGGCCACGATGCCCGCTCGCGCCCGCCCCGTCCTGTCTTCAGGGACTTCGCATCCCCCTATGATGGTGAGATGGGAAGACGGGCCGCCGCCCCTGGCACTGCACGCGCGGTGCTAGGTTTGTGGAGATTTGGTTCGACCCCCGCAGTCCTAATGATGGAAACTGCGAGGGGTGTCAGGCCGCATGGTGGTCCTCACTGGCAAGGCCTACGATGGTCCTCACCAGGGGGGAGAGGGCAAGGGCGGACGTCCACCAACAACGCCCGTCGTGCTCGTCCTCCGTGAAATGCCCTGTGACCACACTCATGAACAATAAGATCGTGACATTCACGAGCACGACCCGACCTATGATTGCGGACTCCCTGAAACGCACCGTGAACACACCCATGATCACGGAAACCGCGAAATTCACGAATACGACCCGACCTATGATTGCGGACTCCGTGATATGCCCTGTGACCGCACTCATGAACAAGAAGACCGAGACATTCACGAGCACGACCCGACCTATGATTACGGACTCCCTGAAACGCACCGTGAACACACCCATGATCACGGAAACCCTGGAATTCACGAGCACGACCCGATCGAGGCCGAGGTGCTGCCCGCACTGCCTGTATCGCGGCCTCGATGGGGTGGAAGCCAGGAGGAGGAGAAGGAGGAGGAGGAGGAGGACGACGACGACGATGAGAAAGTTGAGTTCAGAGAAACAGATTGAGCGCGAAGGCCTATGATGGTCCTTCTTCCCAATTCGAGCCTTTCTGATGGCCCCGAATTGGGTGCGAGGTGCCTATGATCGCCCCTCTGGCTGTGGCTGCCTATGATGGCAGCGCGGGTCCAAGAAATCCGCGCGGAGCGCCATCAATTTATGTTTATGGCCTCCTTTCTTCTTCGAAAGAGTATATCGTGTGGGGAACCGTATGCTAATTGCGTGTGGCGGCGGCGTCCGGCCAGAACCAGCAAGCTGGCTGGCACGTCGAAGAGGTGCCAGGCGCCCTGAGTGGGCCCCGCCGCCCCTCGTGCCGCTGACTTCTGCCACCACCGGGTGACGGCACCAGCTTCGCGGCGACTGGTAGCCATCGAATGTCGCGCAGAAGGCCAAACATCGGGGACGCGCACACATGGATTAGTGATCTATGGATCGGGCGCGCGGTCGCCGTATCCATGGATCGGGGGAGGTGCCCTCCCCCAAATGCGGCCAGTGCCGCCTCGCTCGGCGGCGGAAATCCGCGGCTTCCCATGGAAGCGGGGCCCGTCGCTGATCCACGCCCCTTCTAATCCATGTCTGCAGTCGCCTGAAAAAGTAGAAAGCGATGCAGGCGAGGAAGGAGAGGACGTCGAGAGAGAGATCCAGCACGCAGCCGAACAAAACCATTTTGATCACATGCGCCCCGGGAGCGCCCTGCGGCTGGGATCCCTGGCGCACGCCCAGACTCGCTGCGCCGCTCGCCCCCTGCCGGCCATGGCCGTGAGTGGATGTGAGCCCGCTGTGCCCCCCGAGGGCTTCATGGTGGTGTTTGATGGGCCCATTTTCCACCGACGCTACCATAGGTAGGAGAGGAAAGAGGAGGAGGAGGAGGAGGAGGAGGAGGAGGAGGAGGAGGAGCATAACCTCCTCATCCTGCCTTCTCCCTCGTCCTACAGATGGTGGTCGTGGTGGAAAATTTGCCCCATCAGTGTTGGTTCATGAGCTGGTAACCGCACCGAATATGCTCATCAGAGTGGAGCCGCTTGCGTCGTACATGATGCACTGTCTTGTTGGCGACGTGTGTCGCCACTGCTTGTGCGGCCAAAGCGTTGTCAGTAAAGCCCCCTGCGAGCACCCACCTCCTCAGGCCCAGAACAGCAAAGCTGACCCCGAGCCGGCGCCGCACGACGTCCTGGGCGACCGGGCAATGGACGTCGTGCTCGATGAAGTCCCCGGCTGTGTCGGAACAGCCCAGAACGCAGCGGCAACTGCCACTCCGAACCTCTCTCCTGCGTCGGTCGGTTGCCCTGCCAGTTGACCATCCAGCCGAGCACACGGAGGAACTGGCCGACGGAGCCGTTGAAGCTGCGCATGCGCTTGCCGCGCTAGTCTGGCCAGGGGGCCTGGGAGACGCCATCGGGCAAGCCGCCTGCTGAGGCGCTGTGCTGGATCGTGGCCCTCCTCTGCAAGGAGGCGGTGTCCGCACCATTGCTGCGAATCTTGGTGGGGGCTCCAGGCGCCCCTATTCCTCCTCCTCCTCCCCCTCTTTCCTCCTCCTTCTCCTCCTCCTCCCCCTCTTTCCTCCTCCTCCTCCTCTTCCCCCCCCTTAAGAAGAGGAGGGAAGAGGGGGAGGAGGGGGAGGAGGGGGAGGGCGAGGAGGGGGAGGAGGAGGAGGAGGAGGAGGAGGAGGAGGAGGAGGAGGAGGAGGAGGAGGAGGAGGAGGAGGAGGAGGAGGAGGTGGGGGCACCTGGCCGAGCAGCAGTCACATTCCCCACCCCTCTTGGCCAGATCCGCAGCAGAGACTCGATTGCGACCCTCCTGGCCGTGGAGCTCCAGGAGTGCTTCTCACCATAGCCACCGACGGCCTCTCCTGCCAGGAGAGCAGCACAGCAATTGCTCAGAATGCCATTTCGGTCCTGGGCATCCTCTCCTGTCTCCTCCTCCTCCTCCTCCTCCTCCTCCTGTCCTCCTCCTCCTCCTCCTCCTCCTCCTCCTCCTCCTCCTCCTCCTCCTCCTCCGCCTCGGCCCCTTCATCCCCCTTCTCCGCCTCCCCTCGTCTGCTGGTGCTGCTCTTCCCTCCCCCTGCTCGAGGAAGGCGAGCCTCGGACACGGCACTGGCCTGCAACTGAAGCTCGGCTTTCTCGTCCTCGAGTCTGCCGAGCTGCGCCCGCAGCGCCTCCTCCGCCGCGCTGGCCTCAACGAAACGTGCAGCATGCGCAGTATTTAAGAGACCGAGTCGTTAAAGGAGCCCATCAGGAGAAAGACGGATGTGCATATACACGATGGTTGAAATCACGTTCGGCTACCCTGTGCGTGTATCGCGGACTGCTCTTGGACCGCGCTCAGCGCGTTGCGAGACAGGCACACCATATGATCCATCTTGTCGTCGCCCTCCTCCAGCCTCCTCCCATCTCTGTGTCCTCGCCGTCACCACCGTTCCTCCTCGACTCTTCCTTGGATATCCCCTTGCTCCTTCCCCTCCCCTCCTTCGTCCTGATCCCCACACGCTCCTCTACAATCCCGCCTCTAGTGTTTCGATGCCTTGACGATATCCAAACTCCTACATGCCATTCCAAATCTTCGTCAATGCAAACGGTGGGGTCCGTGGACAAGATGGGCTCCAAGATCGATGTTACACACGTGTCTTAAATATGCAGTATGCGGTCTTCGTTTGTTCTTATCCTCAAGGCCCGTGCCACTATTCTGCAACGCGCAAGTGTCGAGGCAACTCTTGCACAGCATCTGCGCACACGGCGGAGGCCGTTCGGAAGAAGTGCGCAGATCCAAGCATTTCAGCATGCGGGGTGCCTATGCCCGCCGAATGTACGAATCGAGGGCGAACCGTATCCAACTTGTTTCCCCTTTTTCCGTCCCTTTCCAACTCCCCTTTCTCTGCCCCCTTCCCCTCCTTTCCTCCCCATCTCGTCCTCCCTTCCTCCTTTCCTGCGCCTTCGCTTCCCCCTCTTCTCCATCTTCCTCCTCCGCCTCCTCGGCATCCTCCTCCTCCTCCTCCTCATCCTCCTCTTCCTCCTCCTCATCATCATCATCATCATCATCATCATCATCATCATCATCATCATCATCATCATCACCATAATCATCATCATCATCATCATCATCATCATCATCATCATCATCATCATCAGCAGCAGCAGCAGCATCAGCAGCATCAACATCAATATCAATTCTCCCTCTCGTGTTTCCGCTCCTCGTCCCACTTTTCCCGCCCCCCCTCTCCCCTCCTCCAGTGCAGTCGGCCAGCCAACGAACCCCTAGAGCAGGGGGCGGAGAAGGGGACGGGGAGGAGGCGGAAAATCGGCTGGCCCCATGACAGCTGGCCCCGATGATAGCCCGCACCGCTCTGTGAGTCTCCACTGATCCAATCGAGGTAAGGAGGAGGAGGAGGAGGAGGAGGAGGAGGAGGAGGAGGAGGAGGAGGAGGAGGAGGAGGAGGACAGGAGGAGGAGGGAGAGAAGGGGAGGAGGAAGGGGATTGAGAGGAAGAGAGCGGAGAAAAGAGGAGGAGGCGCAGGAGGAGGAGGAGGAGGAGAAGGAGGAGGACGATGACCTCACTGGAGCCGACCCTCCTCCAGGAGGGTGGGCCTCGGACGCGGCGGCGGCCTGCTGCCGCAGCTCCGCCCTCTCGCCCTCCAGCTCGGCCAGCTGCGCCCGCAGCGCCTCCTCGGCCGCCCCGGCCTGAGCGACGGCAGCAGAAGCGGGCACTGTGGAGGAGAGAGTGGCAAGCATCATGTGCACCGCTCCTGGCCTGGACCACTCCTGGGGCCCAGGATCGGTGCAAAATGTGTGTATATATACATATACACACACACACACACACGTATATGGCCTCCTGGCTCGGCCAGAGAGGCATATTAACGCCGATCCCGGCCCCAAGACGGGACCTGGCCAGGATTGGTGCGTGGGCATCTGCCGCGTCCCCCAATGCCGTGGAGAGGGCCCGCCGCGGAGGGGGTACAATACTCTTTTTGAAGGGCCAGAGACACGCAAAGAAATAGACACGAATCCCCAGATCCCCAATATTTTTCTATATATTCTGGGCTCTCGTCTTCACCTCTGCTTCCCATATCTTCGTCACATTCTCCGGGGGATCGACGCCTCTCTGTGTCTGTCTGCTCTTCCCAGTCGGACGAGAGGAGGGCGTGAGTAGTCACCAGGGAACGCATCCTGTCGTGCAGGGGACTCGTTAAGGGTCTGTCAAGGTTTTAGTGGTTTTGTAATGTTTTTTTCCAGGCGCTGGTGGTCTAAAACCCATAACAGGCCAGTTTTTGCTGAAGCTAAAACCAAACCCATGTGTCAAACCATCGGAAGATTCAGTATGTAGAGCATACGGGTCCAATCGTAAAGATATTGTTGACGTTCCTTGTGGTTATCCCGCCCTCCGAAGGCGGGATAACCAGAGGGGGAGTTGCCGAACCGCTCGCGCAGCTGGCTTCTCCGCCGCCTCCATGCGCCAGGCGGCGCCACGGTATCGAGGAAGCGCGCGGCCAGCTTTCAGTCGGACGTGTTTTCTTACAGGCGAATTCTGGACGAAGCATAACAAATTGTCAACACATGATCAAACATGCTACAACAAATAGCGACACATGGTCCCCATATTATTTGTTGGTCTATTTTTGAATATTCCCCCTGTAGGGGGACAGGCCCGACTTAAGGCCAGCTGCAAACGGTGCTATCCTCCCTTGTCGTCCGACCCGGCTCTTCTGATGGCGTCGCAGGTGGGCACTGCAAGACACGCTCGCCCCCTTTCCCGACACGTCGGTCGGGAGAAGGTGTAGAGAACAGAGAACCCACCCTCACAAGAATCACCCCGGCAAGCGCAGCCGTGTAGTCAGCGCGCCCAGGGAAGGGATCGAACAAGACAGGGCTGTTTAGTAAAAGCCCAGGGCCGCTGAGTAAACGCCAATAGTCGGGGTCGGGGTGGTTTTTCCTCCCTTGAAGGTGGAAGCATGAAGTAAGAAAGCGGATGAAGTAGGTTGGGTTCAAGCCCTCCCAGAGAATAACGAAGAACAGCAAACGCATGCCGACTCTTGAAGTAGGAAGGCGCTTGACGCAGATTGGGATCTGGGAGTCCAGAAATACCTACTTTCAACGACCGACGGGTAAGAATGCAGATGACATGAGGCGCGATACACCGAACATGAGGGTGCTTTGCTCTGGCAGGAACGTCATCATACACAACTGTACATCGAGCGCCAGCAGAGAGCGGGGTATAGAGGGAGCCCGTCGGGAGAGAGAGAGAGAGAGAGAGAAAGAGAGACTGACGCGCACACTGCTCCTCCGGCGACGAGGTGGCGACACCGTCGCGAGTCCCGAGGCGGGGCGCGCTTGGTTGAGTTCCGCTTGGGGCTGCAGGAAAAAACAGCGCCGTGGCGTGGGAGCGTGCACGCGCAAAAACGCCAGCGAGGCGGCCAGGTGAAGCGTGTACGATGACGATGACGATGACGATGCTTGTTGAATGCTGAGCGCACTTTGCGCTCGTGACTATGGTGTCGGGCTCGCCCAGCGCTTTGCCGAAGCTGGGCTGCAGACTTGTTGCGGGGGAGGTCAAGATCGGCTGAACGCACGCCCCGCAGCAGCAGCCGCTCGGCGGAACGCCGGTGCCACCCGGGGGCCCCAACGTGCAGAGGGAACGGGCAGGCCGCGCGGCGCAGAGCACAGAGGGAGGCGCGCACACGCACCCACGCACGTACGCACGAACGCAAACGCACGCACGTACGCGCGCACGCACGCACGCACGCAACCACCCACCCACGCACCCACGCACCCACACACCCACACACGAAGGCCCCCCCCCCCCCCCCCCCCCCACACACACCACACACACACACACACACACACACACACACACACACACACACACACACACACACACACTCACACACACACACTCACACACACACACACGGCACACACACCACACACTCACACCACACACACACACACCACACACACACACACCACACACGCACACCACACACACACAACACACACAGATTTTCCCTCCGACGCGCTGGTGACTCTCACCGGCGGCGCAGGAATGAAGGCGGGACACATGCACACGGGACAACCCTCATTGTTAGGTAGCGCGGTCATTACTGGCAACCCTACTGAGAATCAAGCATCGTCGACCGTTGGGCAGAGACAGCCAGGCGTTGTACAAGGCATACAGATGCACGGGTGAGAGGACGCGCAAATGCACATACTCTCACACTCACGATCTCGGCAGAAACACGTCTGCGGATCAGGAGTGCCCCCCGCGAAGTGCCCCATCGTCACGTGGTCCTGCTCTCGGACGTCGAGTGCGCACCTGCAGACCCAACGTCGCCATTCCGCCCACCTCCTCCGTCTGCAAGGGCAAGGAAAGCTGACTCCACCACCAGCGAGAGGAGTCAGGGGGGCCATCCCGTCCCACTCCTCCGTCTGTAGGAACAAGGAAAGCTGACCCCACCACCAGCGAGAGGAGTCAAGGGGACCTCCTGGGGAGGCGTCGCGGGCCTCTTGCCCGGAGGCGGCGCCCCCTGGTTGTGGCCCGGGCGTTGCTTGACGGGGGGGCGAGTGAGCACGGGAAGTGAAGAAACGTACGCACTCTAGGGGGCCTCTTTAGGGTTAAGTCGGGCGTGCCCCCCATACATGCGGATTTGGGGCGAAAAAATAAACATAGTCAGAACATATCCCAAACATATTCAAAAATACCCAGCAAATCGTCCCCAGACTTTTTTTATAAGTACTCTTGAAGCTCAACCCTGTAGAGGAACAGGCCCGACTTAGATTTAGGGCACCTATGGTGCACGAGAGGTGCGCCTTTCCTGCCTCCCCCAATCACCGCCCCTCCACTACTCGGCGGCGGTTCCAGGGCGGGAAGCGAGAATGAGAAAGCCTTCTCAGAAGGCTCAGACCCCGTGGCCTTCTGCTGAGACGTTTTTGGCAGCCTTCCCCGACGACACAGAAAACCTCTGAGAAGGCCGGAGCGCTTCTGAGAAGCCCCGCCGCATTCTGAGAAGGCCTTCTCCTTCTCACTTCCCACCTCTGGGGAGAACAACTATCGCGTTGGGAGGAATAGGTTGGGAGGATGAAGGCTATGAGCAACGTACCATCTGGATGCGATGAACGATAACTACATTCGGCCGCCTATGGGTGCCCACTCCCGTCCTCCCACCCGGTAGTTGTCTTCCTGACCCATTACGCAACTCCCGAGTGGTGTCGCTCTCCCCCCGCCGGGCCACGGCAGCGCCAGGGCAGGAGCAGACAACCTCCTTCCTCCCCTCCTGCTTCTCCTCCTGCTCCTGCTCCTGCTCCTGCTCCTGCTCCTGCTCCTGCTCCTGCTCCTCCTCCTTCTCCTCCTCCTCCTCCTCCTCCTCCTCCTCCTCCTCCTCCTCCAACCCCTCCTCCTGCGCCTCCGCCTCCGCATCCGCCTTCGCCTCCGCCTCCTCCCCCTCCTACTCCTCCTCCTCCGCCTCCTCCTCCTCCCCCTCCGCATCCTCCCCCACCTCCTCCTCCTCCGCCTCCTCCTCCCCCTCCTCCTCCTCCTCCTCCTCCTCCTCCTCCTCCTCCTCCTCCTCCTCCTCCTCCTCCTGCTCCTCCTCTTCCTCCTCCGCCTCCGCCTCCGCCTCCGCCTTCTCCCCCTCCTCCTCCTCCTGCTCCGCCTCCTCCGCCTCCGCCTCCGCCTCCGCCTCCGCCTCCTCCTCCGCTTCCTCCTCCTCCTCCGGCTCCTCCCGGCGGGCAGGCCTCGGACGCGGCGGCGGCCTGCTGCTGCAGCTCCGCCCTCTCTCCTTCGAGCCTGCCGACCTCCGCCCGCAGCGCCTCCTCCGCCGCCCTGGCCTGAGCGGCGAGGGTCGCGGCGCGGGCCCGGAGGAACCCCGCTCAAAGGGGCCTCAAAGCACACGGCTGGATTCAGGCGCTGAACATGCGGAGGCCACTTGCTGAATACACATGCGGAGGTAAGAATAACAACTCCACAGCACTTTTTTAAAGAAATTCCGCGCGGGCTTCTCGGATCGGCGCTGGGACCACATCCCTGGCGCGCGGAGCGCGTCAAGGGCGGCGCCAGAGGCGCCGCCAGCGGGACCCAGCGCCGATCCAAGTCCCAGCGGAGCTCCGAAAGTCCATGTCCATGCTGTTTTTTCCTCTCCGATCGCCGTGCCTTGCCATGAGGGCCGCGCGCTGCTAAGACATGCGGGCACATACCGTTCCACCTCTCGCCAAGGGGCGGCAACGTCACAAGTGTCCAACTTCCCGGTATCATTCGGATGTCCGCGGACCGTTCCTCCGCCCAACGCCGGACCCCCTCCCCACCTCCCGCCATCCCCGGGATGAGCCAGCAGATCGGGAAAACCGGATCGAATCAGAACGTGTATCGGGTCGGGCTGCATCGGCACGGAGCTGAAATCGAATCGGATCTGCAGCGCGGGGATGCACAACAGCGCCATGCGAGCACTTGGCCGCATCTGCTCCGCTGGAGCATCGAAGTTGGATCGGATCGAGCCGCCAGGGGCCAACGTCGAATCGGATCGGCCGGATCGAGCCGTACCTTGCATCCCCTGGCGGCGCCCTCGGAGCAGGGGCGGCCCGATGCTGGAGGCGGAACTGCCCACGGGCGTCCGAAGTCTCTGTGCCTCCTGTCCCCCCCGCACTCCCAACACAGGGCGGGCAGAACAGGATCCACTCGCGATGCGGCAGAGCCACATGACAATGAAGCGCCTCTCTCGGGCGGTGCGATAGGGGGAGATAGCAAAGGGGGGCTTGAGAATCAGCCTTGTATCGAGGAATGGGCCCCTCGGTGGGGCTGAAACCAGCTGCAGGTGGCGGATTTCGTACCCCCCATTTTCTCTATCCCCCCCGTTCGTCGGGGATCTTCTGACCCGGGTCAATCCAGACCCAGGTCAGTCAACCCTTGCAGAATCCTGCAAGATCCTGCACCCAAACCCGGGTCAATGCGAAGGATCCTGCAGGATCCTGCACCCAAACCCTGGTCAATGCGTCCCTGGCCTCTGCAGGATCCTGCAAGATCGGGCGTTCTGGCTGACCCCCGTTTGCATTGACCTCCGTCTCGAGGCTCCCGAGTTCGTCTGGCCCGACTCTCTCCTGCTGGCACAGGAGGGGAGAGACACCTCGGCGTGCACCGAAGCTCTCGAAGGTCCGAGCGGAGTCCTCAGGTCGGCTCTGACGCCCCTCTCTGGCGCCAGAGGCGCCGCAAGGGCTAGTCGGACGCCGAGCCGAGAGATCCGCCCAGAGCTTTGATCGCTTTAGGTCGAGCATGTCCGCCTACAGGCGGATTTGGAAGAAAAGCCAAACATAGTCAAACATACCCAGAAACCGTCAAGCAATAACCAGAAGAGATCGCCCGCCACACACTATTGTTTGCCTATTTGTGAACGTTCCTCCTGTAGAGGGGCATGCCCGACTTAATGATAGAGCAAACAATAGTCAAACATACTCAGAAATAGTCCAGCAATAACCAGAAGATCGTCCCCCCCACACTATTGTTTGCCTATGTTTGTCAGAGTGAGGCCGAACGGTCATTCACTGTCCCTGGGTGCGTGGCTGAAGTGGGATTCCGCGGTGCGGATTCGTGTTGTTGTTGTTGTTGTTGTTGTTGTTGTTGTTGTTGTGGTTGTTTGTTGTTGTTTGTTGTCGTCGTCCCACCCGCAGACCCGCCCCGCAACCCGCCCCGCGACCCACCCGCGACCCACCCCGCGACCCACCCGCGACCCACCCACGACCCACCCGCGACCCACCCGCGACCCACCCCGCGACCCACCCCGCAACCCACCCCGCGACCCACCCCGCGACCCACCCGCGACCCACCCGCGACCGACCCGCGACCCACCCCACGACCCACGCCGCGACCCACCCGCGACCCACACGCGACCCACCCGCGACCCACCTCGCGACCCACCCGCGACCCACCCGCGACCCACCCGCGACCCCACCCGCGACCCACCCCGCGCACCCACCCGCGACCCAACCCCCACCCCCACCCGCGACCCACCTTCGACCCAAACCACGCTCAAGGTACAAACCAACATTTTCGGCGCCTGCGGCGTTTTTTTTTTGCATTCCTTCCAGGTGGAGAGCCCGCGACCCACCCCGCGATCAACTCGCGACCAACCCGCAACCCAAACCACGTTCAGGGTACAAACCACATTTTTCGGCGCCTGCGGCAGGCATCTTTTGCATTCGTTCTAGGTGGAGAAACCGCGGCCCACCCGCGACCACGTTCAGGGTACAAACCACATGTTTCGGCGCCTGCGGCGGGCATCCTTTGCATTCGTTCCCGGTGGAGAACCCGCGGCCCAACTGCGACCCAAACCACGTTCAATGTACAAACCCAATTTTTCGGCGCCTGCGGCGGGCTGCTCTTGCAGGAGGAGGAGGAGGAGGAGGAGGAGGAGGAGGAGGAGGAGGAGGAGGAGGAAGGGGACGGCGACGACGACGTCGACGACGACGAAAAGGAGGAGGGGGGAGGATCGGGAGGGGGGGAAAAAGAGGAGGACGACGAGGAGGAACATGACGACAATGGGAGGACGATGATGGAAGGACGAGGGGGGGAGAGGGAGGACGAGGAAGAAGAGGAGGAGGAGGACGAGGTGGAGGAGGAGGGACGATGACGATGACGACGAGGACGAGGACGAGGACGAGGAGGAGGAGGAGGAGGAGGAGGAGGAGGAGGAGGAGGAGGAGGAGGAGGAGGAGAGCGCCATCGACAGGGAAGGTGGGGGCCACGAGGTCCGCCGGCTTGACGACGCCCGCGTCGCCCGCGCCCGCCCCCTCACTCTTATCCGCAATTGCGGGGTGCTACGTACATTCCTCCTGTAGAGGGACATGCCCGACTCAATGATAGCTGCTGCTGGACCAGACAGAGGACACACGACACCACCCCACCCACCAGCGGCACCAGGGGCCTCAGCGTGTACCAGGAAATCTGGCGTGGGCTTCTGCGTGGTATGCGCTACGGCACCCGATGGGCCGCAGCGCAGCGTGGAGGGCCGTAGGTGGGGTGGTGCCGTTTAGTTTTCGGTCGAACTTCCCCGTCACGCAAGCACCCCCCAGCGCGAGGACGGGCCCCTCGGCGTGAGGCCCGCTGCTGCCCCCCGCCCTGGGAGGGGGCGCCCCTGCGCCTCCCGCTCCCCCGCGGCGCCCAGCTGCTGCCTCCTTTCCCACGAGGCCTCCCAGGTTTACGCTGCTTCCATCGTGCTGAAGCTTCGGTCGGGCATGTCCCTCTACAGGCGAATTGTGGACGACGAACCAAAAAGTATACCAAACATATTCGGAAATGGTCGACCAATAATCGAAACATTGTCCCCAGACAGTTGTTTGAATATTTCTGGAGTTTCCTCCTGTAGAGGGGCACGCCCGACTTAAACTTCAGAATCACATCCCAGAAATAATTTCGAGCACCCAGAACTTAATGATAGCTGCTTCCTCGTCGCGCACGCACTCCCCGCGCGAAGACGGGCCCCTCGGCGTGAGGCTTGCTGCTGCCCCCCAACCTGGGAGGGGGCGCTCCTGCGTCTCCCGCTCCCCCGCGGCGCCCAGCTGCTGCCTCTTTTCCCACGAGGCCTCCCAGGTTTACGCTGCTTCCATCGTGCTGAAGGTTAGGTCGGGCATGTCCCTCTACAAGCGGATTTTGGACGAAGAACAAAAACGTGCCAAAAACATATTTGGGAATGGTTCAACAATAATCGAAAACTTGTCCCCATACTATGTTTGACTATTTTGTTGATCTTATTCCTGTAGGGGACACGCCCGACTTAAACTTCAGGACCACATCCCAGAAATAATTTCGAGCACCCAGAAAAGTATCGAAACGGTGTCGAGCGAGTATCGCTTTCCAGGGCCCGACGCGTGAAAACCCTCCAGTTTCGGTACTTTCTTGGTCCTCGATCTTCTTTCTGGTGATCGAGACGAATGTCGGTTGGAACATCGTAATCCCAGGTGGGGTCGGAGCACATGGGGTCGGAGGATCACGCCGCATCGCCGACGTATCGCCGATGCATCGGCGATGCATCGGCGATGCATCTAAGTCGGGCCTGGATCTCTACAGGAGGACTTGCGACGAACAAAATTACCCCAACAATAATCCAAAAATAATCAACCAATAGTCTGGGGACTATGCTTTTAATATTGTTTGACCGACCTGTTTTGGGTATTTTGGGGGTATCTTTTATTTTTCGTCGAAAATCCCCCTGTAGGGGGACACGCCCGACTTCACGATACGTCGGCGGTGCATCAACGACGTCGCATAGAGAAATTCGGGCTCCACGTCGAGCCGCATCGGCGGCGCTCCTCCGACCCCGTCTGCTCCCAACCCGTCTTAGAGGCCTGGATCCCCCCCTCCTCCATCCTCGGCCCTACTTTCCAGCTGGCACCCTTTCTTTGGGTCTCTGCCCTTCCCTCGGCCTAACGCAGGAGGGACCCTGGGCAAGAGTGACCTCTGGCGCGCAGCGTCTCTGGGGGGCCGCGGAGTGCCGCAACGCAGGCGCCCAGGACGCTACCATCACACAAGGCGCTTGGCGATCGGGGAACCCAAATGTGCCCGCACCACAGGGCACTCCGGCGAAGGGTCACCCTCGGGCGTGGGCAGGACTTGGACTCCAACGTGGGTCTGTTACTATAGCGAGGGTCATGAAACAAGCGTTGAAACACAGATTATGCCCATCTGTGCATATGCGGTCTGGCAAAGCGGAGCGGCATCAACGCTACGCCAGGGACTGGGTTTAGTGGGACCTGGTTTAGTGATGTGTACTGGGGGACCCCCCCCGCCACCCGGAAAGAAAACACCAGCCACGGCAGACGTGGTCTCGTGATTCTGGCCCATTTAGGGGCTCCGGGGCCCTACTACTGACGGGTGTACTAACCGGGTCCCCTTACCTGGGGCCCTGGCTATACACGACACTCTTACCCAGACATCCGAGGTCTCGATTTTTTCGAGACGTGGGCCCCCGACCTCCAGACCACTTCCCCAGGACCGGTTTCTCATCCCGAGTCGTTTTTTGACGGTCCCGAGGCCCGGCGAGGGCCCCGAGAGGCCGAAGACGGCGAAACACCTCCGCACGTGATTTTGTCCAAGACGCTGGATCTCTGGGTAGTCGTCTCCCTTTCCGCACACCTGGGGACGCTCCGGCCGCCGGCAGTCCCCCCCCCCGCTCGGGCCACGCGGGCCGGGGCCCCCGGCAGCCTCGCCTTCGCGGCCGGGCGGCTCTCTGGCCGCCCGGCGGCGCGCCTCCGTGGCGGAGTCGCCGCGCCACGTCGCGGGGACGCTCCGCGCCCCGCCCCCGCGCCCCTCCCCGCTCCCCCCGCGCCCTCGCCTCCGGCATCGCCTCCGCTCGCCTCCTCTGGCTGCTCTCTTCGTGGCGGCACGCCGCGGCAGAGCAGCGCGGCAGCGCAGGAGGCGGAGGAGGAGGAGGAGGCGGAGGAGGAGGAGGAGGAGGAGGAGGAGGAGGAGGAGGAGGAGGAGGAGGAGGAGGACGAGGAGGAGGAGGAGGAGGAGGAGGAGGAGGAGGAGGAGGAGGAGGAGGAGGAGGAGCAGGAGGACGCCAAGCCACAGGAAGAGGAGGGAGGAGGGGGGCAGGACAGAGGGGGGAGGCGGAGGGGGGAGGCGGAGGGGGAACGAGAAGGAGAAGGAAGGAGGAGGGCGCTGCGTCGTTTCCCTCGTCCCCCACCGCTGGTCCTCCTGTTGCCTTGCCCCCGTCTTCTTCGTCCTCGCCATCGTCCCCGCCATTGCCATAACCCCCTCCGAAAGTCGGAGCATGGTCACAGAGAACGTGGGTCAAGAACATGACCCCCTTCGCCGAATGCCCAAGAGCAGTAGAGATTGCCCCATCGAAGGGTATCCCAAGGCGGAGTGCCCAAGCACGAGGAACACAAGTGTGCCCCTCTAAAACGAAGGCTGCTCCTAACCCTGGCGCCAGCTGTTTTCGCCCTCGCCATCGTCCACGCTATGGCCCCCGTCGTCCTCTTCGTATTCGCCATCGCCTCGCCATCGCCTTGCCTCTTTTTCACCATCGCCATCGCCCTCCCATTGTCACACCTCGCCCCCCCTCCAATTCGTCTTCGACATCGTCCACGCCATTGTCCCTTCCCAGACATCCGGCTGCTACAATTTTTTCGATGCGTGGGCCCGGGAGGTCTGGACCCCTTCCCTATAGACCTGGTTTCTCGCCCCGTGTCGTTTCCGTGACGGTCCCGAGGCCCGGCGAGGGCCCCCGGAGGCCGAAATGGGGCAAAAGCCGCCCGCTCCGATTTTCGTGGGAGCGTCGGATCTTTGAGCTCGTCCCGTCGCCCTCTTCGAACATGTTCGCCAGGGCCCCGACGTCGGCCTCCTGCAATCCTCGTCCTCGACGTCGGCCTCGTGCAGCCCCGTGCCTCGTCTCGAGGCGTCCCTGCCCTCGGCCCGTTCGGCCCTCCCCCCTCGGGCTCCGAGGGGCGGAGGTGGGCGGGGCCCGTTGCGCACCGTCTCACCCTCCTCCTCCTCCTCCTCCTCCACCTCCTCCTCCGCCTCCGCCTCCTCCTCCTCCTCCTCCTCCTCCGCCTCCTCCTCCTCCTCCTCCTCCTCCTCCTCCTCCGCCTCCTCCTCCGCCTCCTCCTCCGCCTCCGCCTCCTCCTCCGCCTCCTCCACCTCCTCCTCCTCCTCCTCCACCTCCTCCTCCTCCTCCTCCTCCTCCTCCTCCTCCGCCTCCTCCTCCTCCTCCGCCTCCTCCTCCGCCTCCCTCCGCCTCCGCCTCCGCCTCCGCCTCCTCCTCCTCCTCCTCCTCCTCCTCCTCCTCCTCCTCCTCCGCCTCCCCCCCCGTCGCGCTCCCCTCCACAACTACACAATATGAACACACTACTCTCCTCTCTCCCCTGACCCTGTCCGGAGGATGTTCGGCCGCCCTCCGCGTCTTTCGCTTCACACAGAATTCCAGCGAATTGGTCTTTCATATGCGTGTTTACGCATTCGTTTCTTTCCGGTCCTTCAGAATGTTGCTGCCGCTACAGCGCCGGCCTTATCTTCGGGCTTCACCTCATTTCCGCGCTCCCGCTCGTTCCGAAACGTGCTCCCGCTGCAGCGCTGACCTCATTTCCATGATTCTGCTCGTTCCGAATCATGCTCCCGCTGTAGCGCCATAGCATGTAATGCAATGCTATGGTGTGTTCCGCGGTGCGATGCCATGCCTTCAGCTGCAATGCTATGAGATGCAATGCTTGACTACGCAATGTCACGCCATGCTATGTCATGTTACGCGTTGATCTTCAACACCATGTTATGTCGTGTACTGCTACGCCATGCTACGAGATCCGACTGCGCGAATAGAGAGGATATCTACGCCGTGGTCAGGGATGGGAGGGAGGGGTAGGACGTCAGATAAGACGCCTGCGCTCCTGGCTGGACCATCCCCCCTCCCCCTTCCCCCCTTCTCCCGCCTTCCCCCCTCCTCTTCCCTCTCACCCGAGTCTCCCTTGCTCCCCTTACCCCCCCCTTGCTCCCCTTACCCCTTGCTCCCCTGACCCCCCCCCTCCCCTCCTTCTCCTGCCTTCCCCCCTCCTCTTCCCCCTCACCCGAAGCTCCCTCCCCCTCCCCCCCCTTGCTCCCCTTCCCCCCCCCGCACCCGAGCGGCATCGCTGGCGCCCGAGCAGGGGAGCCCCAGCGGCAGCTGCCCTTTTCCCCCCCCGCCCTATCTCCGTTCTCCAGCCCCCCTCCCTCGTCCTCCTCCTCCTCCTCCTCCTCCTCCTCCTCGTCCTCCTCCTCCTCCTCCTCCACGAACTTCTGGTCCTCCTCCTCCTCCTCGTCCTCGTCCTCGCCCTCCTCCTCCTCCTCCTCCTCCTCGTCCTCGTCCTCCTCCTCACCTGGCCTCCCTCCTCCCTGCTCCAAGACCTCCGCGCCGCCACTCGCGGTGCAGAGCGGGCCATTGGGAGGGCGGCCTCGGCGCATGCGCTGGCCTGCTGCTGGAGGTGCGCCTTCTCGGACTCCAGCCTGCCGACCTGCGCCGCCAGGCCGGCGTCTTGGGCTCTGGCCTTGGCGACGGGGGGGCCGGGCGCGAGACGTCAACGGCCACACTGCCGAGGGCGAGAACAATGCCATCAAGGATGCGCAGACTTTCTGGCCGCACAAGACAGCAGCCGCCTGATCAGGGGATTCACTGGGAGGTGCCGAAAAGTCTGACGGTGTCGTTGGTGGTCGAGTCCAAGATGCGGGCACTTCCTGTCTGGAAATGGATTGTGCATGGCCTGCACCCTCCTCCTACTCCTACTCCTCCTCCTCCTCCTCCTCCTCCTCCGCCTCCGCCTCTCATTTATCAGTATTCTCCTTACCCTCCTCCTCCTCCTGCTCCTCCTCTTCCTCCTCCTCCTTCCTCTTCCCTCTCGTAATTCCTTTTCCCTCTCGTGATGTAGACTCCTGATTGTCATGGGCCGCCTGCGGCTGTGTGACAGTGGCATTCAAGGTCTCTACCCCGTCGCTGCTGCCTGTGCCTCGTCGTCACAGCGGCGTGCCTCGCTTGCAGCCTCTGGCCGTCAGCAGCGAGACGGCCTGGGCTGTCGGAGGGCATCCGTGGGCAGCGCTCGGCTCCGTCACGGCCGCGGCGGCCAGAGAAGCTACCTCGCCTGCAGTGGCCGCTGCGCGGGGGGGGGCTGCCTTTCGATCCGCAAGGGCTCGCAGGGCCGCACCCGCCGCCAGGGTGAGCTTAGAGGTGAAGCTTAGAAGACAAATGAAACACAGTCGAACAACTACTAAAACATAGCCCAAATGGTTGAAGCATCGTCCTGGACTATTTTTTGACCATCTTTGAATCTTCCTCCTGTAGGGGGCCTGCCCGACTTCACGCCAGGGCGAGGCGGTCCACCGAAAGGACAGGCGCCGCCGGGCGCCAGGCGACGCCAGGCGGCGCCAGGCGGCGCGGGGTAGACCTGGCGCCCCTGGAAGTCGACGCGCGGCCACGAAAGCGCCCGTCGAGAACCGCGGGCTCCCCTGGCCGAGGAGCCCGGGCTCCTCCTCCTCCTCCTCCTCCTCCGCCTCCTCCTCCTCCTCCTCCTCCCCTCCTCCTCCTCCTCCTCCCCCTCCTCCTGCTCGTTCTCCTGCTCGTTCTCCTGCTCGTTCTCCTGCTTCCTCCTCCTCCTCCTCCCGCCGCCCCCCCATCCTCCTTCTCCTCCTCTCCTCCTCCTCCTCTGCTCCTGCCTCCTCCTCCTCCTCCTCCTCCCGCCCCCCCCTCCTCCTCCTCCTCCTCCTCCTCTCCTCCTCCTCCTCCTCCACCTCCTCCTCCTCCCCCCATCATGGACACGGGCTTCCCTCGCCGAGGAGCTGGGGCTCCGTGGAGAGATACCCTACATCTAAAACGAGGGCACCTGCGAGGTGGAGTGCCCGAGCACGAAGAGCACGAGGACACCCCCTCCAGAGCCAGATGATCCTCCTTCCTGCTTCCTTCCGTCCTCCGTCCTGCTCCTCCTCCTCCTCCTCCTCCTCCGTCCTCCTTCCTTCTTCCTTCTGCCCTTCCTGCTCCTCCTGCTCCTGCTCCTGCTCCTCCTCCTCCTCCTTCTCCTCCTCCTCCTCCTCCTCCTCTTCCTCCTCCTTTATTCCTTCCCCTTACAGATGACTCCTCCGTGTCGCACCCCGAGGCAAGTTTTTAGGGCGGGCCGGGCGTTTCGCCTGATACTTCCTCACCACTTACGACCCTGAAGCTTAAAGAGTGACGGCAGTGTGACAGATGGAGGGCGGGTGGTTTTCAAAATGTGGCCCTCACCTCAGCGCCGCGCACATTCGTTTAAATAAGTTGCAGGAGCTTCACGGATTGAGGGCGGGTCGTTTTCAACATGTGGCTCTCGCCTTAGCGCCGCGCACATTCGTTTTAATACTTTGCAAGAGCTTCATGGATTGAGGGCGGGCCGTTTTCGAAATGTGGCTCTCGCATTAGAGTCGCGCGCATTCGTTTTAACACATTGCAAGAGTTTCACTGATTGAGGGCGAACCGTTTTCAAACTGTGGCTCTCGCATTAGAGTCGCGCACATTCGTTTTCACAACTTGCAAGAGCTTCACGGATTGAGGAGGGGTCGTTTTTAACATGTGGCTCTCGTCTTAGCGCCGCGCATATTCATGTTATAAACATGTGCAAGAGTTCGCTGGATTGAGTGCGGCCCCTTTTCAAAATGTGGCTCTCGACTTGACGCCGGCCGCGCACATTCGTTTTCAACATGTGCAAGATGTTCACGGATTCTCATGATCAGCGTACCAGAAATGGTGTTTTGGAAAGATTCAGGATTATGCGGGCGCAACAATTAGGTTGATTCTCTGTATTGACGTTTCCAAAAATGGCATTCTGACACGCCTCTGAATCGTCAACACGCAGCAGTCAGGTGGATACGTGACGTTGACATCCCGAGACCAAGGTTTTGGCACGCTTCAGGATCTTCAAACGGTTGTCTTCCAACGAGGCAGTTCCCTCAGTGGACATGAACCGTTGTAGGGGCCTATGAAGAGGGAGCTTGGAGGGAGGGTTCATTCCAACATCGTTGGTGACTCTTGGGTTTCCACTGGTCCTCCAACTCCTCCTCCTCCTCCTCCTCCTCCTCCTCCTCCGCCCCCTCCTCCTCCTCCTCCCCGTCCTCCTCCTCCTCCTCCTCCTCCTCCTCCTCCTCCTCCTCGGCCCATCAAGGACACGGGCTCCCTTCGCCGATGTGCCAGGGCCCCTTTGAGAGACCCCCCTGAAAGAAGGGCACCTCCGAGGTGGAAAACCCGAGCAAGAAGGGCACGAGGGCACCCTTCCAAACCAGGATGCTCTGAGAGAGGAACAGAAAGCGGCACAACACATGGGCTGTCGGCGTTCCGCGCGGATTTCTTGGGTCTGCGCATGGACCCCGTCCCCCCCCCTGGCGCGCGGAGCGCGCCAAGACCGGCGCCGGAGGCGGCGCCAGGGGGACCCATGCGCCGATCCAAGAAATCCGTGCGAAGCGCCAAAAGTTGATGCTTATTCCGCTTCTTCCCCCTCGACCAAAGCGAGGATGCTCTGAGCCCTCGTGCCAGCTGTGTGGCCGACTCCCCAGACGCGCCCTCCATCGGGGCTATACACAAGAGTGGCTGTGGGCAAGAGTGACCTTAGGTGCGCGGCTCTTTGGGGGCCGCGGGGGGACCAAGCCTGGGCGCGCAAGCAGCTGCTACTGTCTCGCTTTCAGCCATATGGGGACCCTTCTGTGCCCGCACCAAAGGTCCCAGAGATCCGATGTCGTAATTTTTTCAATGCGGGGTCCCTGGAAGTCTCGATCCATTCCCCAGGACCGGTTTTTCATCCCGAGTCGTTTTTTGACGGCCCCGGGGCCCGGCGAGGGCCCCTAGAGGGCCAACAACTGCGCAAAAGCCTCCGTCCTTTTTTTTCAATGCGTTGGATCTCTTGGGTCACTCCTGCGAAAGGTCACCCTTACGCCTAGTCGACTCCAGGAGAGCTCCCTCTCGGTGCGCAGGGGCCGCTCGGGGCGCGGCGAGGCCCTCCGGGCCTCTGCGCGCCCCGGGGCCGCCGCGGCGCCCCTGCTGCGCGGGCGCGCTGTGCACGCGCTGCTCCTGCAGCCCCGGGGCCACCTCGGCTTCGACGCGGCGCAGCGCCTGGCCCGGCTCCAGCTCCACGCCGCTTCGGCGCAAGTTCGACTCGGGTCCAGCTCGGGCCCGACGCTCAGGTTCCACCCGGGTCCGACCCAAGTTCGACGGGCGTCCGACGCCATGAGAAGAGCAGGTACGCGGCACGCGCTTTCCGCTGCATCGCCCCGGTAAGATAAGAGGAACGGGAACGCTTGCCGCTGCGTCCCTGAGGGCGCCGAGCTTGCCCAGGCGATGGTGCGAGGCCTGCCGTGGAGCATCCTGCGCGTCGAGGCAGGGGGGGGCACATCGCCAGGGCGGCCGCGCCGTGCCCGCGGCCTCGCCTGCAGCGGGGGGCGACCTCCGCGGCCCGTGGGCGGAACGCAAGAAACATCGTTCTGCTGGGTGTGCTCGCTAAGGTCATCCGCCTCCTCCTCGTCCTCCTCCTCCTCCTCCTGCTCCTGCTCCTTCTCCCCGTCCTCCTCCTCCTCCTCCTCCTCCTCCTCCTCCTCCTCCTCCTCTTCCTGCTCCTGCTCCTGCTCCTTCTCCACCTCCTCCTCCTCCTCCTCCTCCTCCTCCTCCTCCTCCGCGCGTGTCGCCCCTTGGGGCCCCAGGCCTCCGCCCAGGAACCGACGTCGACGAGGTACAGTCGAAGTCTATATAACGAAGGACGGGCGGTAAGGACGCGAAGGCCTTGGGCGCCGAAGTTGGCACTTTTTCGGGCGGCGGGCTGCCAACACCCTGAAGGGCCGGCCAGTGCAAACCGCGAAGGACGGGCTGCAGAGGGAAGGACGCAAGGGTACCCTCGCAGGTGTGTGGCCCACCGGGTTCTCATGTGCTCGAGCGCTCGATCCCTTCGGCGATGTACGCGCCGAGCGTGCTCGCCGAGGGAGGTGCTCATGGAATTGGTACAGGACATAGGCGATACTTGTTTGGTGTGCTGGCGACCCAGCCGCTGGCAAACTTGCCACCTTGAACCGAAAAGGGCTATGAGCCTGCTCCTGCTGCTTCTGCTGCTTCTGCTGCTGCTGCTGCTGCTGCTGCTGCTGGTTGCCCACAATATACCCTCCTCCTGCCCCGTGCTTTCCTGCTCCTCCTCCTCTTTTTCCTCCTCATTCTTCTCCTCCTCCTCCTCCTCCTCCTCCTCCTCCTCCTCCTCCTCCTCCTCCTCCCCCTCCTCCCCCTCCTCCTCCTCCTCTTCCTCCTCCTCCTCCTCCTCCTCCTCCCTTTCCTCCTCCTGGGCACCTCGAGACCCCCCTGGCAACCTCCAGGCCGCTCCCAGAACCTTAAGCGAACCTTCCGAGACTACCGACCGCATCCGAGAACAGCCGAAGGTGATCGAAACCTCCACAGACACATGAATAACAGGCAACCATACATTCAAGCAACGACACCGGGCCCGCGGATAGATACGCAGCGAAGAGCAAGCGGCTGCGGCAGGGAGAGCCTCGGCCATGGCAGCGGCCTGGATCCGAGCCTCTGCATTCTCGGACTCCAACGCCTCGAGCCGCGCTCTCAGCGCCCCCTCCGCCGCCTCGGCCTGGGGCGTGGGGGTGGTGGGGAGGGGGAGAGGGATGCTGGTGTTGTTGTTGGTGGTGATGATGTTGACGACGACGACGAGGATGATGGTGCTTTTGGTGGCCATGATGATGAGGATGCTGATGATGCTGATGTTGGTAATCCTGCTGCTGCTGATGATGATAATGAGGATGCTGATGATGATACATTGGGGAGCAGGAAGAGGAGGCTGGGGAGGAGGAGGAGGAGGAGGAGAAGGAGGAGGAGGAGGAGACGGAGGAGGAGGAGGAGGAGCAGGAGGAGGAAGAGGAGTAGGGTTGGAGGAGGAGGGGGAGAAGGACGAGGAGGAGGAGGAGGGGGAGGAAGAGGAGGCGGAGGAGGAGGAGGAGGAGGAGGAGGAGGAGGAAGAGGAGGAGGGGGAGGAGGGGGAGGAGGACAAGCTAGGTGCGCTCGCGTCATATCTGACATCCTACCCCTCCCTCCCATCCCTTACCATGGCGTAGATCCCCTCTCTACTCGCACAGTCGGATGTCGAGCAGGGCAATGATCGCGAAAGGGTACGCGATGCATTGTAGAGCACGGCATGGCATGGCGTAGAAGAGCACCGCAAAGCGTAGTATCAACCTAGCATTGCATTGCATGCCGTGGCATGGCACGGGAAATGACGCCAGCGCTGCAGCGGGAGCACGAGTCGAAACGAGCGGAAGCGCGGAAATGAGGCCAGCGCTGCAGCGAGAGCACGATCGCGACGAGCGGAAGCACGGAAATGAGGCCAGCGCTGCAGCGGGAGCACGATTTTGAACGAGCGGGGCCCGAACATGAGGCCGGCGCCTCAGCGAGAGCAGCATTTTGAAAACAAATGCAAGCGAAAACCCAACTCCCGGGAATCCTGTGTGTAAGGAAAACAATACGCGGGGGGGGGATCGAACACTCCCAGCACGTCATCAGGGGAAGAGGGAGAGTAGTATTCATATTGAGTAATTGCGGAGGAGGAGGAGAAGGAGGAGGAGGATGAGGATGAGGATGATGATGATGATAAGGAGGAGGAGGGGGACGAGGAGGACGGAAGAGGATGAGGAGGAGGACGATGATGATGAGTGTGATGATGATGATGATGATGATGGTGATGATGTGATGATGATGATGGTGATGGTGATGATGGATGATGATGGTGATGATGATGATGATGATGATGATGATGATGATGATGATGATGATGATGATGATGATGATGATGATGATGATGATTGTGAGGGCAGAAGAAGCTGTTAAATAGTCCAGAACGACCAGGTTGGCCTGGACGTTGCAGTGTACCTGCGAGCAGACGCCTCTGGGGACTCAGCCTCAAGGCGCGGGGGGCCCACGCTGTCGAGACAGGCTGGCGCGCGTCCCACGCACACCTGTCGCGAACAGCCTCCGCCTCTGAAAGATTTCCACACGAACAAGCTTGTTCTCCAGCTCAGTGACGTGACGCGACCGACGGAGGAGGAAGGAAGGAGAGAAGGAGGGTGGGGAGAAGGATGAGGAGGGGAGGGGAGGGGGGAGAACGACCTCCTCCGTCCTCAGTCCCCCTCTGGGTCATCCCTCCTCCTCTTCCTCCTCCTCCTCCTCTTCCTCCTCGTCTTCCTCCTCCTTCCCCTCTTCCTTCTCCTGGCCGTTCTGGCTCAGGCATGCGGCCCTGAACTTGCAAACGCGCGCTTCAGAGCGGCTCGTGCTTGCGAGCCAACTGACGCAGAGACGAGCTCGGCTGGCCCATGGCATCGCGCCGCGATGCGCCTGGGGTCCGAGCCTCAACGACAGTACAGTGGCAATGCACGGGCAAGTGTGGTGGATGCCCGAACTACATCAGCAGGGCAGAGTGCTGAGCGTGTGAGGCCAAGGCGCCGCCCAGCATTCTGGCCGCCCTCAAATCATGCCAGGCCCTCAGCCTCGGCGCTGCGCCGTGGCGCGATGGAGGACGAGGCGCCGCAGGAACCGTCAAGCCCCAAGGTAAGGCCAAGGCCAGGCCGAAGGTTCAAGGTCGCGGTGCCCAGTGGGACAAAGTCAAGAACTGGCCGTCCTACTTCGGCCACAAGAGAGCTGGAGGCACCGGTGGAGAGGCGAAGGCCGTCGTCGACCTCAGCGTCGCTGAGCTGCTGGGAGCTACCAACAAGGCGCTGGTGGCGGCTGGCATGGACGGCCTCACCGAATGCCAGCTCTCCGTGGTGGCACCAGCTCCGCCCAAGCAGGAGGTGGTCGACATTGCATCGGGGCCGCTGGCTCGGGTGCTCCAGAGGAAGTCGGACAAGAGCAAACAGGTGGAGAAGGCCAAGGTACGCGTGGCGGAGCGGGCCCAGGAGCTGGCGGCTGCGCGAGAGGCCTACGACGCAGAGCTTCGCCAGCTCCGTGAGCACGAGGCCAATTTCGCAGAGCTGGAGGCGATCGAGAGGACCAAGTGTGCAGCGGCTGCCATGGGCACTAAGGGGGACACGGTCGCTCTCCTTGACCAGCTGGCGCTGCTCCTCGACGCCCTCGGTCAGAATGAGGACGTGCAGGATGGCCAGGCGAGCCTCGCGGACGTCCGTGCCGTCGCCGCCAAGACCAAGGAGAAGCTCCTGGTCGCAGAGCGGGCTGCAGCTGCAGCCAAGGAAGCCCCCAGCACTGGTGGCGCTCCTGTTGCTGACGGCCCTGGGGCCCCTGCAGGCGGTGGCGCAGCCAGCGGAGGCATGGACGTGGAGGTGCCTGACTTCGAGGTGAACCAGGACCTCGCAGGTCAGGTGGCCGCTCAGGTGGAGAAGCTGGGAGGCCCCCGTCCAGCCTTCGACCTGGACAGGCCTGAGGGCGCTGACAAGCTCAAGCGGGTGGCCCCCAAGCTCCCGGATGCACAAGCACTGGCAGCAAGACGGCAGCGTGTTTGACCATGGACAGGAAGGCCTGCGTCATGGCGAAGCCGCAGGCTGGGCGGACCTCGGGAAGTTCTGGGGGTCCAACGAGTACGACTTGGAGTGGCCTGAGACCCGTTCGCAGACGAAACCCACACAGGGCTTGGGTTCACTCGAGCCCCTGGACCCACGTGAGGGACCTTGTGAGCGGGGGTCGGCGGAGGGATGGCAGACGTCGCCACATGAAGGCAGGCCTAGTGCTCAAGCTGCTGCTGTGGGTCGCGAAGCTGCTGGAACTATCGCGGAGGCCAAGGACCAGAACCCTGCGCTGCGAGCGGCCGTGTCGGCGCGCAGGATGCCCGAGAGAAGGCTGAGGGCCTGCGCCACGTTCTGGCTCCAGGGCGTCTCTGTGCTTGACGAAGCTGGAGACAGAGCGCAAAGGCTGCGCGTGTGCGTGTCCTACGTGGCCGACCTGCTGATGCATGGTACGTGGACGCCGCTCGTCTTCGAGGCGGCTCGGACGATCGGCATCAACGACATGGGCGGGGCCAGGCCCAGGATGGCGCAGGACTTCTGCGAGGGGGCGCGGGCAGCACGGCGACGCATTCGGGCCAACTGCCACGCCAACATGCGTAGGCTGGCCCAGTCCGACGCACAGGAGTGGGAGGAGCAGGTGGCGCGGCACGCGCGCTCCATGACCGAGGCGGAGGAGGAGTTCGGTGCAGTGCCTGGCAGGCGCGCTGCAGATGCCGCCCGCGGGGCTGCCGCCGTGGAGCCTGTGCCGCCGCTGGCGGCCGAGGTCTGCCCTGAGCTGTCGTCAGAGCACGCCGCTCAGAGGTTGTCGCTGTCGCGTGGCGAGTAGCCAGCCGAATCGTCGAGTGCGGGGCCGCCTTCGGAAGAGTCGAGTACGAGAGGCAGGCCTGGCAGGACCGCGTCCGCTTTGGAGGAGGCCGCGGGCAAGCAGGGGCCTAGGTTTGCGGCGGAGCTGGGCCTCGGCGAGGTGGGCTGGAGACTCGTGCTCGGCGACCTCTCGTTGGTGCATCGAGTGTCAGCGCAGCCCGAGGTGCAGGAGTTCTCCCTGCCCCTGGTGCCAGCGGTCAGCAGTGCATCGCTGCTGGAAAAGCGCTCGACAAGCTCTTGATAGTTTCGGCGGATACCAACTCGCGGGCCAGTGGTCGGGCCTTCTTGGAGTGGAGCAGTGACAAGAAGCTGACGTTCGACGTCGTCGGCCTGCAGGGGCACCATATCAAGAATGGCGCCAAGCTGAAGTCGGCGGCGAACTGGACTCGGCGCGCTGGCTTCGAGTTCCTCGGAGTCTGGCGCAGGACGCGGGCCCAGGACCCCTGGACAGCTCTGGAGGCGTGGCAGTCCTCGTGGCGATGGCGGCGGCCAGCGTTGATAGGCCCAAGGAATGCAGTGTGCTGGGCCCCCCATCGGGCGAGAGCCGCGAAGCTCAACTCGGGCCGGGGCTTCCCGATCTTCTTTGTCTCGGCCTACGTGGTGGGCAGCATCGGGGTCACAGGCCTCGGAATTGCGCTGCTCGAGGCCCTGCAATCTTGGGTTGGAGGCCTTGCGTGGCCGTGGGCCATCCTGGCGGACTGGAACACCGAGTCTGGCGACTTGGCCAGCTGGGCAAATCAGGCCTCAGGAGTGCTCGTGTGTCCCTGGTGTCCAACTTGCGGCAAGCGCGAGCACGACTACGCCATAGTGTCGGGGGCACTTGCCCGTCGTGTTGGCGCGGTCAAAGTGCTGGGCGACGCCCCGATCTCGCCGCACTCGCCGACCGCCATCGAGCTGAAGGGCCTGCGCCGAAGGTCACGGTCACCAAGGCGGTCTACCCCAGTCGGTACCCGCTGGCCCTGCCACCTCCTGCGCAGGCAGCGCCGCCTGAGCTCGTTGATGACGAATGGCCGCGGCGCCTGGGGGCTGGACCTACTGACGCGGAGGAAGCCTCCGAGTTCTGGTGCGCCCTGGCAGGCTCCACCAGCTGGAAGGCCACAAGCGTAGCAGAGTGACCATAGACAGAGGCCTGCAGGTGGAGACAGTTCCTCTGGTCCAGGAGTGGGAGGACACGCTGAAGGAGACGACCAGCGCGGAGTACCGCAAGTGGGCAGGCGTGCTAGCGCCTTGCAGAAAGGCGGCCGCTCTTCGAGAACACCAA